GGGGGGGGGGGGGGGGGGGGGGCAATAGTGACTGGATAGAGGTCCAGGACACGGACAAGGCGCAAGAGTAGACGGGGTGGAGTGATGGGGTTAGCTCGACAGGTCGATCTTGCCCAAACAAGGTAGACACGTGTGTAAGGTTATCACGAAAATGTGCACGTGTGTTTGGGTGTACGTACACCTCCCTTGTGTCCATGCGATTATTCAACCCTTGCTTCTCTGTACGAAACAAGCGTGTAGTTTCTTCTACAGCAGGTCTCCCTCCCCAAGAGCGGGGGATACCTTGAAATCTTCGCAGAATGGAAGCTTCAGTACAACATCAACGCCAGTCGGCACAAAAAACACCAAGCACCACGAAGTTGCAGCTACGAAGCGTACTTGAGGTCGTCCGGTCACCGATTATATGCTATCACGGCGGTTGGTTGTGCGTGTATTCCTGGCGGGTGGGAGCGCCCTTATTTTTGTATCCCTCTGGGTGTACCCACTAATAATACTACACGACGTTTCACGGTCGACGAAGGGGAAAGGTAACGCTGAATCCTTCTCGCGATAAAACCACTACGAAAAGGCAGGCGCCGCGGGAGGACGGAATAAAATGTGGGGCATGAAAAAAAATTAGCACTTGCTGTTTTTGTTTTTATCCTCTAAAAGGATTAGGACTGATTTTCAAAGCTCTATTTTTCTCCACGGCAAAAAGAGTAGCGATGCAGAACTTTTGGAACCGTCTCGTCGAGTACTTCCCGAAAAAACATCGTTTGGATTATATTTCGTCGTGGTACTGCTGTAATTGAACTCGGAAAATCGAACCAGGGGGTGTGGTGTCTTGTGTCACCGACCGCTACACATCAGGCGGAGGGGAAGGAGCCAAAAATCGTTCCGGCATGTGTACCGGCAACAACAGGATGGGGACTTCATAGGCAGACTCACCACGCACTATCTGGGGACTTCCTCTCCCCCGGTGCTACTACAAGCTGGGCCAGCCAAGAAGCTCACTTTCGTTGTTTCGCGTCTCACGCTGCGGTTTCTACGAGTGAGTTTAGGCTTGAAATTTTATGGGTACTCTTAAGACAATAATAGGGGAAGCGCCGGTGCCAGAAATTTTGGAATCTGAGTTGATTTAGGTATCAAATGCTCAATTGGCGGTTCGGTGTAGTGGGGGATACTGCCGGTACCGGGTACTGAAATCAGCATAATAAAAAAAGTTTTGCAGATGATTAAGCCGAAATTTGGTGTGCACTTACCTGAGAGCATTGATTGCGAGGACGACAATGAATGAATGATGGTAGTTACAAGGTTCAGGTCATCTTCCATCAAACGTTATGGCCTCGTAAAGGATCCTCTACAACACCCAAGATACTGAGGAAAAGTGAGGATATCGCGATTTCCCACGCGGTTTTTACGAAGAATCAGAACCACCTGCAATTTTGAGACGGCATCCGCATGATGAGTACAACAAAAAAACAAGCCACTGCACCATTTGGATTTTTTTTTTTTGTCACTCTGTCCCAAAACAAATATTCCCATATTTACAAAAATAGGGGTAACTCATGAAAAAATAAAAAATCCAAATGGCGCAGTGGCTTATTCTTCTTTCGTACTCGTGCAGATGCCGTCTCAAAATTTCAGGTTCTGATTCGGGAAAACCGCGCGGGAAATTCGGTCCAACCGTGAAATACGCGTCTTGGCTGGACCAGCTAACTAAGCTGCTTGTAGAGTTAGACTAGTTGTGTCGCTCAGGGTGCGGGATCACTCGCACTTTTGCAGTAAACGATTTTCCATCATCACTAGCTAACTCAGCAAAGAAGAATCTAGAGTTGCATAGGTCCCAGCTCACGTAGAACCTATCGTACTTCCTAAACCCAACAGAAAACGACAAGCACTGCTTGCTGCCCTGTTCGCGCAGTTCCTATCTAGCTATATATCCATTTGATCTTCCTGTCGGCATGTCTGCATCCCTCCTAATAATCTAATAATCCCTCCGGCCCTCCGGTGCACCTTGACTCCCAGCAGGCACTTGCTTCTCCACGGCTTGCACACACTCCTGCTCGCACAGCTAATGGTTGTATCAATATCTTGCACGTGGGTACATCGTGTGTGAACGTGTGCAGGCATGGTTATGGACAGAAGCAGTCTACAGCAGTGCGTGTAGCATACAACGCTGAATTTGGAAATTTGAATTTTGAAATTTGTCCACGAATAATGCGGCGTATCCTGCCGTGGACGCCGCCCAATCATTGTCTCTTCGCCCGCGGCATCAAGGCTCGTTGTGTGATGTGTGGGGAACACGCCGAAGCCAAACCTTTCGTAGAACGGTGCATGATATGGTTGTGAGAGAGAGGGCAGCTGGCCCGCTGAACGTGTACGCGGATTTAGCGTGTCTACCGGCTCTACTGATGGCAACACAGCCAAACAGCCCGTAGGTTCCGACCGGCCATCTGGCATCAGACACGACAAATCTCGCACACCCCGCCTTCTTTCTTCCTTCTGCTTTCTCGCACTTCGCGCGACTGCAGACTCGCGGGGCTGATTAACCCCACCTCCATCCTTCCCACCGCCCACCACTGCGCAGCAGTCGAGCATGGCATTGCGCGCGAGAGCCGGTGCAGGGAGCGTATGATCTCTCGCGGTTCAACCTCACCGACGGCAGGCTGTGATTGGCTGCACCCGGCTGAAGTTGACAGACTGCTGTATGTTACATTCGGCCGAATTGCACCCCCGATGAGTCGGCCTCTGTACCGCGCACCACAGGTGGGCTTCTTCGCTCCCCATCTCCACCTTTAACTGGATGGATAGCTAGGAACGGCGTCCCAGCAGAAAGCCAACTCCTGAGGGGAAAATCGAGCGAGCCGGTGGAAGCAGGCAACGTCGCAACTAGGAAGGTGCCACCAGACAGTTTTTTAGGCCAAGAGCGCCCTTTCTTTCTTTGCTCTTCCCCTATGTTCCCGATGTGCACCTTCATTCCGCTTCTACAGCAGTACTGCTGCTGTTGTTGTACTACATAAGTCGCTCTCGATGTATTCTTGGTTGTAAATAGAGCGATGTAAACTCGCGTGCCCACGCTCTTTTTGAACCGCGGTCGATGCCGAGCGCTCTCTGTTCATACAGTAGACTCGCATGGCACACCCGCGTTGAACACATTTCCAATCGCTGTTTCCTTCCGACCCTCTCTCTTGGTACACGGTACACGGTACACTGCCATAAGGATACTGGGTACAATGTATTCCGAACGGCCGAACGTAACGGGCTATGCTGTACTGCTGTACAGTAGTATCTCTCCTTTGTGTCATGTTTGACATGTACATAATGGTTTTTTTTATTGTATTTCGAAAAGTCCGATGTGGCTGGGTGGGCCTCCGGTTTCACCCCGCGGCCGGTGCGTCCAGATGTTGTACAACATGCAGACTAAAGTAATGTGCGGAAGGCAAGAGAGACGGCACGAAGAAACTGAAGAGTGTACATCACCCCAACACACAGGGAACGAACATCTACGTACAACAATGTCCATTACCGAAGTAATTCAAACCGAAGTATAGTAGCACACCCAGATGGCACACCTCCAGATAGCACACCTCCAGATAGCACCTACAGATAGCACACCTAGATAGCACACCTACAAATAGCACACCTACAGTATATCAATTTATCACACTGCTGGTGGCACAAAGAGGGCACGCGCCTAAAATGTACCAGGGTGGGACACGGCGGTGGTAAGTTTTTTTTTCGTTTGTTCTCCTGACGCAACGAACCCGTCTCATGGATATATAGTCTAAGCTACAGTTGTCTCTAAATAGAATGAGGGTTACAAACACAGAAATACTATATACCATTCGAGTTGTGTAACTACAGCAGTAATCGAAAGCAATGCACGGTCGAAGTATTTCAGTAGCGAGTGGAACTCCCAAAATCTCATCACCGGGGTGTGTTGTCTTGGTGTCACGTGCTGCATAGAAGTACGTGCTGAACATGACGGGTGTTATTTACATCGAGCACGGGTAAACACTCCGGGGCTCCTCAAAGCTAACGGCTACCTGGCCTATCGCCGTTCCAGCAACGATCCCACTCAAGGCTACGTGCTGAGGAGAACGCGGTTTCTCGGTATACATGACGCAGCGGCGAAGAGCTGCTGTTTGCGAAACGCCTCGCCGATTAGGACAAATACTACACCTAATGATAGGAAAGTAGTGTGGGATTCGCGGATGTTTTGTTATTGTATTGCCATTCAAACTAGTCGCGTCGGAAACAATCATTGGAGTATCTGTCGGTTTCCGCATCCTCTTGCTTGAGTACCAGTCACGAGCTTCGAGAGAAAGCCTGGGGGGTGTGGGATCACTCGCACTTGTGCAGTAAACGAATTTCCATCATCACTAGCTAACCCAGCAAAGAAGAATCAAGAGTTAGGTCCCAGCACTCGCGCAGAACGTATCGTAGTTCCTAAACCCTACAGAAAACGACAAGCAGAGGGTGGCAAGTGCTTGCATGAGTTGACTATGTTTTGCTAAATACGGAGTACAAAGTAGTGCACAGATACACTCTTTCAACTAGCTCTCTTTCTCCTTCTCGTGAACTTCTAGCCGGTGCAATGTGCTTGGGCCCACGCTGAACGTTGTTGTACATTTTTTTTGTTACAAGTTTTTCGGTGTTTTTTATCTCCCTTTCTCTCTCCCTCCCCCCACCCACGCAACACATGTTATGAGGCCGCTCAAAAATTGCGAGAAAACGACGGGTTACACCAACACGGGCGGCAGCAACGAACCAGAGTTGGGTCTCGCTTATACTGCTGGCACTGCTGTCGTCGATCGCTGTAAGACGGATACCAGCGCTGCACCTATTGCGGAAAGGGTGGCGCCAGAATCGCGCTCTGACTCGGACGTTTGAAGCAGCGCCAGCACAAGAAACAACAGCAGTGGTATCAGCAGGAGTAGCGGCGGCAGCAGCTTCAGCAGCAGCATCAGCAGCATCAGCAGCAGCAACGGTAGCAGCATCAGCAACAGCGGCAACGGCAGCAGCAACAGCGGCAGCAACAGCGGCAACAACAACAGCCGGAACAGCAGGAACATCAACGTCAATAGCAGCAGCAGCAGCAGCAGCAGCAGTGTGCTTCCACCAGAAATGCACAATCCGCCGGAACTACACGAGCAGCACCAGGAGCAGGACGAGCCGCCGGCGGCCTCAGGCTTGGCTCCTCGCACGCCGTCCATTCTGGTGGTCGACGATAGTCGAATCTCGCGCCAGATTGCAGAGCGCAGCCTGTCTAGGGCAAAGTTTCACGTGGAGGTGAGAAAGGAGTTGGGTTGGGGGGGGTGAAGAGCTCGATGAACACACCCGCATCGCGTGTGAACAAGATACAACAAGCCACGTTCTGCGGCTATTATGATTGTACCGGGGAGATGGTCCTTGCTGGTTTCAAGAGTTTTTTTTTTATATATACACCCCTGTACGGGGTCTTGAGGTGCGTCGCGGTGTATTGAGCAGCAGCACGATGTCGGAATTGCCGCCAAGCATCTTCTTGTGTGGTAGGAATTCGTCGAGTTCATCTGTCATCACGGAATCCGGCTCATTTGCCGGCGCCCTTTTACGAGGAAACACTGAGGCACGGAGCGTAGAGGCCGGGTTTCGGGACGGCCTTTGACGTAGGGCCAACAACGACGACCACGATAGCCAACGATAACAGCAGTGGTATACATAGA